CGAAACCCGGATTCTACCGTTGTAAGTCCGCAGACATACCGCTGTGCTACTGGGAGGCGATGTTAGCATTGTAAGTTCAGGGAATACTATCTACGCTGACCGTCCCTAATTTTGAAGTCATGGACTGGAAGGAGCTAGTTAACACTATCCACGTCTTCATAATAACTTTTTACGTATATATTAGTGTGTTTACTATCTATGCTAACCGTCCCTAATTTTGAAGTCATGGACTGGAAGGAGCTAGTTAACACTATCCACGTCTCCATAATAACTTTTTACGTATATATTAGTGTGTTTACTATCTACGCTAACCGTCCCTAATTTTGAAGTCATAGACTGGAAGGAGCTAGTTAACACTATCCACGTCTCCATAATAACTTTTTACGTATATATATTAGTGTGTTTACTATCTACGCTAACCGTCCCTAATTTTGAAGTCATGGACTGGAAGGAGCTAGTTAACACTATCCACGTCTTCATAATAACTTTTTACGTATATATTAGTGTCTTTACTCTCTACGCTAACCGTCCCTAATTTTGAAGTCATGGACTGGAAGGAGCTAGTCAACACTATCCACGTCTCCATAATAACTTTTTACGTATATATTAGTGTGTTTTGCAAATAATTTACATTTATTTTAGTATACGTTCACATCTATAATCCACTTTTATTTGTTTATCAATTGGAGTGATTATGATTAAGACAAAATTATCAGTCAGATTTATCTTGAATAATTAGTGCAGCTCAGGTAAACGTTTCACGTGTACTTTAATAAATGTGTACTCTATCTTGATAATTTTTCTTCTATTACTTAGAACTCCATTCGTCACAATTTGTCCCTGCACAACCGTTTCATGAGAGTACAGAACGAAGGCACCGGGAAGAGTTCATGGTGGATGCTTAATCCTGATGCCAAGCCTGGTAAAGTTGCTCGTAGGAGAGCCACCAGCATGGAGACCCCAAAGTACGAGAAGAAACGTGGTCGGGCCAAGAAGAGTGTAGATACGTTAAGAAGTGGACTGGAGCTTACACCTAGTCCCAACTCATCTTTTTCAGAAAGATTGGACACGTTTCCTGAATCCCCAATACACCAAACATTCCACTTAAGTCCAGATTTCCGTCCAAGTGCATCCTCCAATGTCAGTTCGTGCGGTCGACTCTCCCCAGTACAAACTGTAAACACTGACATGCAGGACATCCAGGTGTCGCCTCCACCATGGGGTTCTTGTTTGAGCACCTCGGGTGATTCTAAAACTTATGGACAACCCTCTGATAGGCTCGATAGGTACTGTGCTGACCAATTGGTAGGCTCTCTAGATGGACCCCCCTCTGATGGACTGGATAGGTACCGCGCTGAACAACTAGTAAGCTCTCTAAATGGACCCTCCTCTGATGGACTGGATAGGTACCGTGCTGACCAACTGGTAGGTTCTTTAGATGGACCCTCCTCTGATAGATTGGATAGGTACCGTGCTGACCAACTGGTAGGCTCTCTAGATGGAACCCCCTCTGATGGACTAAATAGGTATCGTGCTGACCAGCTGGTAGGCTGTCTGGATGGACCTCTCTCCGATGGATTAGGTAGGTACCGCGCTGACCAACTGGTAGACTCTCTAAATTTAGCGATGAAGTTGGAGACTGGAGATAGGTCCTACTTGGTCGATTGTGGGCTAAGAACCAGTCCAAACAGACAGTTGTCCAGTGGGGTCACTTCTCTTAACAACACTACTTACAATCTAGGGATCTATGGCCATGGAAATAACGATTATCACTCCTCCTATCAACCTTCTGGCAGCAATAGCCCTACTTTAATACCACTCCAACTTCAACAACAAAGCATGCAACATACATTTAAGGATATCTCTTATACACTGGCCAACTCTCAAACCTTTTGTACCGTCCAGAAAGCACAGTCACTTTCTTCGAGCCATAGCCTCGGCCAGTTGGCACAACAACATCAAAATTCTTCGGGTTTAACTTCAAGAAGGCAAACAAACTCAAACAGCTATTGCTTCCCTCTATCAAGAGATTTCCCTATTCCAACCTCATTGAATCAGAGAGAGAGCATTCATGCAACAACGACCTCTTTCGGAAATACAGCAAGTCATGTAATGGGTCATCTTTTATCTCTGAACAACGTAATACCGACCGACCTTGATCTTAACTTTGATATGATCCAAGAAGGTCTGGAATGTGATGTAGAGCAGGTCATCCGCCACGAATTAAGCGTAGACGGAAATTTAGATTTCAATTTTGACACCATGAACACTAATTCTTCTGTTGTACCTCCTCATCAAACTACAGTAACGGCAACCAAGGGCACACGACCCTGGGTACATTAAGTTTCAATTTAAATATTTTGAATATTCAGAGGATACCTATTTTCTTGTTTAAGGTTATGCCTAAAACGTAGTTAAACAGCGTACTTCTTTAAGTACGTAAATGAGCAGTTAAATGGTTCTTATTGAAGATCTACCAATATATTGCTATCTATTATACGGTACCATCCTGTTCTTTTAAAGTAAAGAGACATATAAAACAGCCATTTCCAAGAGCCTAATAAACCCGCTTAGTCGCCTGTACTCCTGTGTTGTATAATATATTGCTCCATTGTTGTTCGTTACTCTTGATGAATCTATAAGTATTGCTGTGATTGCGTTTGTATATAAGATTATTAAATTTATGAGAAATATAACTAAAGATACGAATTAAAATTATAAGAATTAAAGACGAAAGACTGGTGTTATCTGACGTGAATTAAGTTTGGGTATTTCTAAGACCACTGGACTGTTTGGTTCATGAATGTAGAAAATTGAATTCAGGCAAGAGGCAGATAAGAAAGATTTTTCTTCTGTTACAAGTGTTGTGACTTACACTGTTTTAAAAATAGTAATTACTTTTCAATCCTAGCTCCTCAGGGAGAAAAGAAAGGAAAACAATAGGTTTCCTTTTTCTTCTATTTACTTTATATTTGGAGTAATATTCGCAGTTCTGATGCTTATATTTCTTAAAACATTCGTACCTGCTTTAATATGGCGCAAAATTCGTGATCTTGAATGTTTTATTTTAGTGTAAAATGCGTAATTTTAACTGATTTAATTTTACGCAAAATTCATGATTTTGATTTCATGTGACATTTGTAGTTCTGACTGATTTAATTTTGCGTTATTTTGATTGCTTTAATTTGATGTAACATTGTTATTCTGACTCCTTTAATTTTGTGAAACATCAATGGCTTTCACTAATTGAATTTGGTATAGCATTTGTGATTTTCACTAATTTAATGTGTTTGAACATCCATGATTTTATAAAGAATTGTAGTTCATTTCTTAACCTCTTATTTGAATTAAATATTTCCACTATGCATAATGTCATAAATAGATAAAATATTATGCTGTATTTTATACAGTGGTAATTATTGATATGTTGAATATACTTTAAATTAAGTAAATTAAACGTGTCTCAATTTTAGGATACTATGTCGTTTTCACCACGCGGTAAAAGTTGAGATTTGAAACCAATATAACTTACAATAAATTAATTCTATCACCACAAGATGTCTCATTCGAGAGTTCTGTGAATGATTGTTGGATGGAGTGATAAAAACATATGGAAACGTTAAATTCACGCAGTTTTTTGCAGGTCATAACTTATATGAAATGTTATTCAAAGTTCTTTACATATGTGTTGAATTATGTTCCCTTTCCTTGATGAAAGCAAAACATTTTTTTTTTTTTTGAAATACCGAAAACGTCATTGAACTATTTGTCAAAGTGAATAAACACTGCTTATTGACAGATATTACTGACTCACTATTCTTTTCTTTTAAACAAATAACCAATACATTTCGTTACGTGGTAATAAAGTTAGTTTATTAATATGATTAATACAAAGACTGTTAAGTCTAGCTTTATTTTATAAAGAAAAAATAATGGATGAGAAGGTTTTATGAGATACTATTATAATAAAGTTTAAATACACACTAACGGAACAATATCAAATTTATATGGATACTAGTTTAGACATTTTACACGAAGAGGACGTGAAATGTCGATTGTTTGTTTGGGGGGTGAAATGTCTAAACTAGTATCTATATAAATTTGGCATTGCTCTGTTGTTGTGGATTTACACTTTATTGTAAATTACTCGACATGATATTGCCTAGTTACTTGGTGTTACCTTGATCAAAATAAATAAATAAATATAAAATTAGGGTTAATATATAAAAACAATGCTAACTCAACGTTCCAACAGCTAGTTTCGAATCCACTATTTAATATGTCGCTAGCTGATTTCAGAACGGGATGGTTATATATAAAGGATATGTTAACTTCATATTTCCTCACGTTGTTTCAGAACAGCGGTTACATTTGACGCTTCTTTTACATAATGTTCTATCAGCTGTTTTTGGAATGAAGTGGCTATATTCGCAGTGTGTGTTATCCATTATTATATGAGATGGTTTTGGAATGGAGAACCTGTATTAGAAGCAGTGGTGGGATTCAAATATTTTAACAACA